TGATTATTTAAGTTGGTTTTTCTTTTATCGGCAGTCAGCCTTGGTGTTCGGATACTTTTCTTGCAGACTTTTGTAATGATTTTTGACAACAATGGATTTTTTTGCTGCCGTCTGATTATAAGTTACTACGAATGGGAATATTTGGTCGCATGTTGAATATTCAAACCATTTGTGTATACTGTACTAAGTTGGTTCATCCAAGGTTCACTGAAAAAAGCGTCACTCTTCTCATGGCAATATTCTTTTTTCAGATATCAAATAACTGTACGTATCGGATATTTTACTTGCGAATGTAAAGTGTCAATAATAGTGAGAAGTATGACGCTAAACACGCTGTTGGAGGAAGAATTTGAATGTTCGTGCATTGTTCCAATTACATGTATTTGTCATTAATGAGCATGTGCTGATGAAAGCTCCCAGACAAGCTTCAACGATGCGACATTGGTAAAATTTGTACCGGGAGGTACAAAACGACATTGGAGGTACAAAATATTGGTAATAAGTGAAATCATCTGATAAAATCTAATGCTTTGTTTTTTTCTTTGTTAGTTTATAAATATCACTAACGTTCACTGCCTCATTATGGTGCATTTTCAAAAGAACAACACTTTCAGAAAAATTAGAATTTAATAGAATTATATACTCGTTGCCATAGTAAATGATTACATTTTGACAAGTTTTCTTTAAGCTTTAAATGTTGCTACTACAATTTATTTAAAGATTTGAATTCGAAAATGCCAGAGATGAGGGATGATACGGCATAAATTGTCATTAATGATGTTTGCAGTGCCTGTATTAACATGAAAAGATATAATACATACATGAGGGGAATTTTGCACGATTTATCTTTCTTCAGCTTATGAAACACACAAGGTCTTGTAAGTCAAATTATTTTATTGTCATCACGGTCTTCAGTTGCATTACGGAAGACATTACTTTGATGTTATGATAAACAATTGGACTATACGTTGGTTGGCTTACTTGTGGCTCATTCTTAGTTGAACTATTATCCCTAAATTCACGACTAGACAATAATGGACGTTTTATTCTATCTAATGTCTTTATAAAGGTCAGTTATTAGTCTACATTTACCATTCATCAAAGAATAAAATCGGCAAAAAAAAGCCGACAATTTTCTGAATTTTCAGTTCTTGATTTCCTTACTGAGGCTTAGTAAGTTCCTTTAAAGTTTCCAATCCATTGTTCATGTAAGTAATGTAGTTAGTGAATGTCTACTAGTAAGAAATATAGGATTAAAGCCAAATTGTCTTCACTTTCCCTTCAATCTCATATCACAACATTTCTTTGTGTGGCATTATCTCCGAAAGGCGTAAATTTCTAGAACATTTTACTGTTGGCTCTTTTTAATATTTCAAAAATGGTTCCTTTATTGTCCGCTCTGATAATATTCAACAGCAAAAGGCCTCTTGTATATTTCAGTATCTTCTAGGTTTCGCTGCCATATATTCTTATAGGATTGTTTATAGACAAACCTTGAAAAATGTTATTCTTATTCTTTTTTGAGACAATATTCTGTAATTCTAATGTTGAAGAATTACTAGCCATTGATCCGAATTATTAAAAAAGTCTATTTGATACCGTTGTGTTTCAGACCATTCATTTCCTCTTAAAATATATTTTGCAGAGATAAGATATTTTGAAGATATTTTGCAAGGCAATGCAATAGCATGACAGCTGCATTACGAAAAATCAAAAATAATGAATTTTGATCATACCAATAATCATCCTGATCGGATTGTATTGTGTCATAAAACTAGTTTTGCTGGTCTTTCACACAATGAGCATTATCATTTGTATGTTTAATTGTTTATCCAACATTTATATTACTCTTTACCTCCTCCCACACCCTTCTCTTTCGAGAGTAATCATAGGCTTATTAAAAACTACATTAGAAAGGCACGGTCCTAATTGATTACTCAATAAAGAAATTATTAATAAAAGGCAATAATTAAAAACTTAATTAAAAATCAAAACTCGTCCTACAACTTGGAAATCCATAAAGGCATGTCAAACCTAATAATCTGTACCGGATTCAAACTCAACTATCGATAATCTTGACGAGAAAGAGAACATTCATCGAAACTTTGTAAATTTCACCTCGTTCGATATATTATCAATCCAGATATACATACCATGTTTAACCAAAATCAGATGAAAATTAAAAAGTAGAAAACCGTTCATCGATGAATTAGTAATTGTCAACTCGTTCACATCTGTTTCTTACTTACAAATTGTGAAATGAAACACGTTTTCTCTGTATAAATCATTTTAACAGCGGGAAAGAAATGTGATGATAATACATTAAAAAATATATTTAGATTGAATAATCTCTTTTATCTCTCCTCGTGTACCTGAACATTTACATTTTTAGATCTACACCAAATTTTAATCTTTTTTTAAAAGATGCTGTTAATATCTATCGTACGCTATGGATATTTGCTTGATGCCCTTATTGAACATGGTTTTGTCTAGTCTTATAGGAAGTCTCGACTAATATTAACAATCTTACTTGCCTGTTTCTTTGATACACATTCTGTTAGCTGTTGCACGAATTCTTGTAATAACACTGTATTGAAAATATTGCAAATCATTCCGTAGATGTGAATCAAATTTACTGTTATACTTATTTTGTAACTATATTGTCGATCATTTTTGTTGGATTATCCAAAACACTTCGTATTGATGACGTAAACAATTTTAATAAATTGTATAAATTTTAATGGGTACATCGGGGTACACTTTTTTTGAAAGTCAAGTTGGCGATCAATTTCGATGGATTTGGCGTTTGAAGTCAGCAGGTGCTCTTATTTTTGTCAGTATTATTCTATTACAGGTATACTATATTGTCATAATAAATAATGACGTTATTAAAGTTTATTAGAACATATAGTTATCTTTACACAAGAATAAAATAATATTCTCTTATCATTATGTACAACTCAACAGATGTAAAATGTGGTAGAAATATTTACTCTGGAACGGCTACGTTGACATACCCTTCTAATACAGAGTTAAAATCAAACACATACCCCTTATTACTTCAATCACGAATGATTATAATACAAAAGTTAATCATCAATTTAAAGAGAAACAAATATCTTGTTATAAACTGTAAAATGTCGCCTAAACTCACGGTATACTTATCCGTATACATCTGAATTCGAACCTACTGCTGAGGTCAGCAAATTCCGGTTTTTGTCTGGCAAAATATAAGTGTGTCAAAAAAGTCTGGCGATCTAGCCAGATACAGTCTGACCGACAAAATTAGAATATTACTTTATCAGGTCCGTCCGTCTACAATTGTTCGTAAACACTCTAAAAGGCACAATTCTTGATTGATTTCGACGAAACTTGGTATGGTTGTTTGTAATCAGCCAAGGATGAACCCTATTGAAAATCAGAAAAATCGGAAAATATTTAGTACGAGTTATTGCCCTTCTTCTTAAAACGCTCGTAAACACTCTAGAAGGCGCAATTCTTGCCGGATTTTGATGAAACTTGGTGTGAGTGTTTGTTATCACCCAAGGATGAACCCTAATTAAAATCAAAAAGATCCAAAAAATGATAAGTATGGGTTATTGCCCTTGTTCTTGAAAACGCACTCAATTTTAGCTTGTAAACACTCTAGAAGGCACAATTCTGGACGGATTTTGACGAAACTTGGTGTGAGTATTTGTAATCACCAAAGGATAACTCCTATCGAAAATAAGAAAAAATGAAAAATATTTAGTTATTGCCCTTGTTCTTGGAAACGCGTTCAATTTTTAGCTTGTAAACACTCAAGAAGGCACAAATTCTTGACAGATTTTGAAACTTGGTAATATTATTCAGTATTGCCTCAAAAAGTTAAAAGAAGTGTAAGACTGAAGGTTGAATATTTCATACTGGTAATTGTTACTGTACTGCCAAATATTTTTTATTTAAAATCAAAGCTGCCAGTGGGCGTATATTACCTTGCCTGGTAAGCAATCTTATTTCAATTGTATACTCGGATTTTGTCTTCATCAAACTTGTGACCTTTCGAAATATACATAAGCTATGTCGGACAGGTCGTCGTGATTACATTTTGAGACAAATTATGTCTGGATACGCGACGATATCTCTATGCACTCAGTACAAGGTGCTTGGCAATCCTGTTTTTTTTTTTACTATGCATACGTTTGGCCTACAAATACATACCCTATTATCGTAAAATGGTACCCGAATAGTGTGACAGGGCATAGGAAAATCAACAATATTGGCAGTGGCATAATATTGTAAACTAGTCCTGTTAATGTTAGCACCAAAGACACCAATGTCTAAAAGTTGAAGTAGATTTGTAATCGTTCACCTGATATCATTGGAATATTTACATCAACTCAAGACCAAAATTTCTTACAATAAAAAGACTTGTAAACAAAACACATGTTAATAATTCACTCAAAACAAAATTCCATTGATTATAAACAGGTGGCCGATACCTTTGAAAAAACCAGGATTGCAATGTAAGATAGTAATCCACTATCAGATTTACTGATTCAAACTGGAACAGCTAGTTTATGTATCTCACTATTTTCTTCGACTCTTGTTCAGTAGTTCAAAACTACCACCACTTTTCTGACCTTCTTTTTGACAAAAGAAGATAAGGAATAGTTATTATAAAAATAATCTGAAGTATTTTTAAAAGACAATCAAGTACATAAACTACTTACGCCGTAAACAAACAAGTATGGCGTCTTACAAGATTGATTTGAGATCCAATTAATATCGATCAAACAGTGTTAAGACCCTTAGATTAATCTGGAAAGAAATACCTCTGCATAGTTCTAAGCAATGTCAATGGTCTGCATCTCACCCTAAAAGTTAACCTGATATGATTTCAGTAAAAAAAAAACAGCGTGGAAAATGCAAGTCTTGACCCGTTAAATAAGTCTAGGAGTATGTCCTATATTTTAAAAAAAAATAAATCTGCATAGTTTTTAGCAATTTTATAAGATAACATGTCAACTATATGTTATTTAGTTGATATGATTTCTAGTAAGTAAATAACAGCGTGAGAATTTCGAGTCTGTATGTGAACCAAATGATGTATATATATTACAAATAGGATCCAAAATCAATCTTGAACAGTCTCCGCATTGGTCGCTCAACTGTCGATATTTACAGAAAAAATTATCATACCAATTTTTACCATTATTCGTTAATCCGAAAACCATGCACTCTTTGTCACTTGCAGAACTAATGATAATATTCACACACAATTATCATAATATAGCAATATTACCTCTATAGTATAAATGCTTTTTTTGCGTACAATATCATTCTTGATCTACGTCATTAAAGTCAAAATTGGGCTAATTATTATTTTTCTTATCATTGTAAAAGTTGTGATTGTTAGTTATTGTTGTAGAAGTGAACATTGGCATGGCTATAAACCAATCATATCGCGGTTTAAAGGTACTGAACAGAATTACTAATAATCATAGCCTATTATGAAGTGGTTCGAGAGCGGAACTTCTATTGAAAAGAAAAATTGAATCGATAATAATCACAATGAAATTAAAACTTCCGGTCTCACGCCACAAATACCGGAAGTCCAAAATTATATTCTCTTTCCAAATATACAGAACAAAAACATATCATATAGCAAAAATTAATCACCCAATAAATAATCCAGCTGTCAATCAAATACATATAAGCTTATATCAATATTGAATCCCTAATAAACCCATATTATTGGTCTATTTGAAAACATGCATATTTTTGCAAATAATGAAATATGAGTTGTGTACTAATGCATTTTTTCTGAATTATAGTTTTGATAAGTAGTGATGATGGCTGTCAAAACTGGCAAGCTGGTGGAACTGTTTTAACTTTACAAGAAAATCATCTTGAACACAATAATTTACAGAAGGGGTAATTGGAACCGAATATTCCCCCAAATTATCCAATAGTGTTTATTTTGCGTCATATTTTACTTCCGATTGACCGGTTGGTGATGTTAAGATTTTATTTCAAACCAACTAGTAGCGAGAACCGAGTATGTACAAACATATTGATATACGAGATCGAAATTTGTAGCAGTACTAAATTCTAGACCGTGATTCTACAAGGTAATTTCGTTTGATTGTAAATCATATAGTTTAATTAACCGATACATTGATTATGACAGAAAGATTATAAATAGAATAATCGGCTTGTCTTAAATGGCCTCAATAGCATTCTTTCTATGATGCAAAAACGCTTCGAACTGCTCGAAACCATGAAAAGGCCAACCCTTTGGATTATATGATAATTTGCAACGTTGAATTGATTTCCAACTGAGGCGGTCAACAGAAGTGATAGCAGTGCAAACGTGACAAACTTCCATGATTATAAGATCATTATTATAGCTTAATATATAATAGATCATTAGAATCGGATTAAACATCAGAAATCCAAGGCAATTTCAGATTCATGTTATAAATTAATCTTCGTTCGACCAACAGTAAACAATATCTTCTTCCATTACATGGGTTTTGTAGATATAACGATGAAGCATATTTTTTTCATAGATCAATTAGACATTCAAAACATGGCCGAGAGGTTAGGCTCAAAAGTTCTAAGCCTAAATGGGATATGTCGGTCGGATTGAAACAAACTTTTACCACCAACAAGTACTGTCATTTAATAAATCATATACTGCAAATACGAACTGTAACAGTAGTGTTATTATCATTTTATCAGACCTTCCTGTGAACTTACAAATTCACCAGAAATGGCAAAAACTGGCAGTAGGTAGGTAGAGTAATTGCGACACAGACACATGATCATATGGGCTCCACTTTCGGGGATGGTGCCACTACCTTTTCCACTGTAAACAAATAATCTGTGAAATTCAATCTTGACAGAGAGACCGTTGGGGATGACAAGTGTCCAGGATGGCCTTGAATAGCAACCCTTCCTGAAAAATAAATTCCTCTTACACGACATGGTGATAGCGTATAGTCGACGTTTCACTCAAAATATTGCCAGTTTAATTGACATCTCTTGAGAAAACAACGAATCGGGAATGACAAATTCTGCAAGAAATGAGTCTGTCGTGTGCGTTGAATAAAAACATTTTTACGAAATATTTCCGTCCTCAACCATCAACATAAAATTACATTTGAATCTTCTGGCCACATGGCAATGTTTCTTTCGAACACTGTCCATCCTGTGCGGCTAATGAAAACTTGAACACATAACAATGATTTTTGTTTTCAGCGGACAAAAATCCGTCGTGTGCCCCTAGCTTTAGTGTCGTGTAATGTATGTACCGAGAAAAACTCGACTTCAAACATCATTTAGAAAATTTTTATGGTCATTATAGCGAACTTCTGGACAAAAATTACAAATCTTACATCTTGGCCGATTTGTTTGGCCATGCATAAATTGATCTGATTGTGTTTCAGTGATATTGACCTATATTATAGTGCTGGGTGTCATGCGAAGCAGACCATGTTTACTCACTCACTCCACTACTTTACTTTTACTCTCCATTTTGTCCTACTTTGGACTATTGTCGGCTTTGGGTCATCTCATAAATAAATAGGAATCCCGCAAACATAATTGCATAAAATGATTTCCAGGACGAAGTAAATGATTGATTTCCTAGTAACTTCAAAGTAGACATGTTCAAGTTGACATTCAGAAATGATAATTGGGTTAATCAAATCAGTTCAAGGAAATAGGTCACCGGAAATTCGCCCAACCTATCACGGCCTCTGGGCTCAGGTTAAAATATTTGTCCAAGAATCCAAACCTAGGAGAAACCTTGAAAAAATATATATAAAAAAACAGCCTTTTTTCACTGATTGGAAGAAAGTAATCTTTGACGCACAATCATTATTAAATTCGCACCATCATTGCATACATAACCATTGATAACAGATATATATAATATAAAACATTCAACTCATTTACAAAGACATGATGACCTTATCATTTTGAAAAGGACAACTAATAAAACACACAACAGATGCAGCGGACGCATTCGGGACGAAGTCGGTGAACTCAAGGTATTAAGCGAGTGATCTTTCGCGCTAGGGAAGCTTTGTCGGTTTCGGGGTGTTCTGTATTCAGTATTAATCCGAAACCGAAAATCATTAACTACTAAAACTTTTTTTTTGTATAACTCAGTTTGTATACAATATAAGCCTACAAAAAACCCTATAAACCAATATTCACATTTCGAGTACTACTTCTTTAACATGACAACCTCATGGTATTTTCGATTCTGTTCATCATTACATTAACGATATACAGGAAATCTAAAATAAAATAGCAAACTTTCCACGTATACCAGTTATGTAGTTTAGAATAACATCTCTTTGTTTTTGGTAATAGATAAATCTAAACAACATCATCTATTTGATTGTATTTGTTATGTGAATAGCTTTAAGACACAATAAAAACTCTCTCATCTGTTTACAGATTCTTTTAGAAGAAAAATTAACAAACACAGTAATCCGGTAAATTTCTTGCACCTGTTTAACATTTAAATTTGAATACAAGATTTCGTCTGTAAGCTATTCCGACACACTAAACACTACTGCCAACCAGTGTTTAAAACATTAACACTATTAAGCGAATGTGAGCATCATCATTAATTCCAGCAACATTCAATATCCCTGGCTAAGAACACCAATAACAATAACTGAACTTTTGCTAACCATAATGAAAATATGAGCAACAGCAACTGAAAGCAAACAAGATGACAATAAGATAGTAATGAATATGGTTCATCCAGCCTTGCATATGATAGTTAGCAACTGGAACATGATTTCAAAGAACAATGTCATAGATTACTACCAGGATGTAAATACAATTACAACAATTTCAAACAAAATGTTGGTGTTTTTAAGGTCACTCGTCATTGTTTATTTGAATTAAAGGAAGTTAGTTTAGTAAACAAGAAATGGTAAATGAAAAACAGTTCCTAGTTCTTGTTTGATTATGTAGGTCACATTTCCCTATTCATCCTTCGAAGTGTTTAAACTTAAAAGAACGATATTAGTTTATTTTGCAAATTCTGGGTCTCTCCTCAATGATAAAAAATGTTTAAAATTTTATTCTACGCTAGATAATATTTAAAGAAAAACCCTGCGTTATCATGATTAATGTCATATTGGATGATATTACGGGAAATGTCTAGCTGCTAAATATAGTACCTATGGTCTGTTTTGAATATGGGCATGATAATTTTAATTTATACCGAAGCTCGAACTCATTACATTGAAACGAAACGAATAAAACAATTGACTAATAATACAAGTTTAACCACAAGGAAAATAAAATCAAAAGTAAAAATTTACTTCCAATATATAGAATCAGTTTAATATATGTTTTTGCACTACAACAGACTACACGTTATTAGTTTCAGTTACACCACGAAATGAGAATTATTCGTGCCAATGACTTTCTGAATTATTATATAATCAATGTACATTTGGGATTTTATCCGTGTTTAAAACAGTTAGACATATATCACCATTTATATCAATCGGTACAATTTACCCATATCACCAAATGTCTAACACAATTTATCCGAATATGGCTCTGCTAAATACAAATTACATTGTCAAACCGTCCATTTGAATCGCTGAGTTCCCAACGTCTGGGGATATTAGATAATATCTTACAAACTCGTGCACATGGAAAGATAATGACAGAAAGTAGATTAATCCTAAAAGACTTGAGTATAAACTGAACGAGATAGCAATGCACGACTCAGATTCAGGAAGTGTTCCGGAAGGGTGACCCGTGTTGTATTCAACCTAAAAGATCGAACTGGAAGCTGGAACTAAAGGGAATTCTACGGGTTATCATAAAATATTTATGTATAGTGATTAGTTATGATACTAATAAGCTAATTTTGGTAAATCTTGAGTGGAATTTGATATAAATTTCACCTGTTGATTCTATTACAATTTGATTTATATTTAATTACTATGATGTTTCCATGATTTTATTAATGGACAATAAAACTGATTTAAATACCATCTTGAACATTACAAATAATAATTCTATTATCTAGTACAGTCCAATTTATTCAGAGTTAAGAAATACCACAAAACCATTGTGAACTCTCCGAAGTAAAGTTAAGACGACGCACCGAGTCGCCGAGTGGCATTCGGCTATTTATATACCTTGACTTGTTTGAATATAAGTCACACTACTGATCATAGTTGGCATTGTCGAAGAGCAGGTATTTTAGATTTTACCAAGCGATTTCTTTGTTGGCAAATCGTCGAGTTGAAATCATGCAACGGCATTAATATTGCTCATTAACATACACACGATCAGAGTGCAGCGAATCTGCTTGTGGAACTAAGTTTGAGTGTTCTTATTTAATGCAATAATTGCAGTTTGGCATCTTATTTATCAGTCCAGTTTTATTTGAATTATTTATGAAAAGTGAACGAATTTCGATAGACATATCACACATAATATTTCGAACTTAATAATATGTTCTTACATTACTAAAGTTCGGCAGGTTTGACGAATATTAATGATATTTTCTTTGTTATATGATCAATTTTCTTTTCAGCAACATTTGACAGGTATATTAATGAGAATATTTGTATAAGATAAGAACCGGTTTTTGGTATCCAGCAATTGGTCTTCATTCCCAGATCACAGATTTCTATCTTATAGTTAATATATATTTCACAAATTAGACTAGTCTGGGCCGTTCCGAGATGTAGTATTGAGTTTGTGTGTTTGGTAATATTTTAAAGCTCACAGTTTATATTATGACACAGAAGATAGCAAGGTAACAACACAATCATGTACTTATGGTGACTGGATTCCAACGTCGTACTTTGGATTTACCAACAGAGAGTTTTGATATTAAAAGGCACCTAAATTCTGAAAAGTCTGGTCTGAAGCTGATCGATAATGATTTTAACTAAATTCTAAGAGTGTATATGCGAATGATTGAACGCCTTCTGCTGTTTATTCAAGCAACTCGACCATAGAAAGATACGAACTTGCCGTTATTCAAAGAAGTCTCGTGAACAACGATGGAAGTTTGATATCTGGTGGTAGCGGGAAGTCGCAACCTTTACGAAATTTAACAGATGATACGTTTAACAGTGGTGATGCAAATCGTGCTGATATAATAGATGCAATGGTCATTGTCCAAATCATAGATATCAAATCTTCAAAGCTAAAGACGTTTCAAGACTTTGCAAATGAATTTCTGTCTAGAATCTTAAAGAAATCGGTTGGGTTTTGACAGGTTCGGTTAGTTTTTGACTCCAATAAAATCAATAGTTTAAAGTTTGGATCTGTTGCACTGATTGCCTCACATTGAAACAAAGAAGCAAATAGGAACATTTCGTGCTTATGAAGCTCTAGGCTGAGAAGAGATTATTAACCATTTAATTCAATGGAAGTAATAAAGGGACGATACGATTTACAGAACATAACCAGGAAGAAGCAGATACCGTTATGATTCTCCATGCAGTTTATATTTCCAGAGATCCTTCTTCATCCATCGTAATCTTTTCTCTGGACACTGATGTCCTTGTGATTACCGTCACCCATGCATTATCAACAAAACGCTTTGTAGAATTAACACCTTCAAGGCGAGTAGATGTTCAAATCTTAGGAAAAGATAAAAGTAAAGCTCTTGCTGGATTTCATGCTTTTACTGGTTGCGATACTGTAGGTAAATTTTTGGGTAAAATCTAAAACCACTTGGTGGAAACAATGTTCATCATCTATTGTATCTGCGATCTGGGAGAAATTGAAACTCTTGACGACTACATTGTTGATAGCCTTTCAATTTTGTTGCTAATTGTTATGTCCAGGAAGTCAGTCTGTAGAAGAGGCAATGTGGAAGAGATTTTGCAGGCATCCTGATCCTGAACCAACTAAAGGTTCCCTAATCCAGCATCGTTTAAGAGCAAACATTTATCTGCAGGTGAAACGCAGTGAACCACGAACCGCGTGTGTTAGACCCATTAATGGGCGGGTGAACTAAAGAAGTTGATTGTTACCAATCATTAACATTTAATGGAGACATTACTCCTAATTAAATTATTGACATTGTTAAGTGCAATTGCTCTTCATCTGGTTGTTCCACAAAACGATGTTCTTGTGCTAAGCAGAATTTGTTGTGCACTGATCTTTGTCAATGCAAAAGCTGTGAAAACATTGACCCAAAACGAGCAACTTGTGATTCTGACGATGAAATTTAATTTTGTAAGTATGAGTATGTGTGTACATGTAAAAATACCATGGTTTATAAAAATTAAAAATTTAAACTCAATTTAGCTCAGTTAATTCCGCTTGTAAATCTCTCATTTGCACCCTTATCAACCCTTCTGTCCTGCATGAACAATAATTGGGTCCTATTAGGGATAAGTTACTAAGACGAAACAAGGAGCGCAACTCGAGATTCGAGCCTTCGAGATTCGATCAGTACATCAATCAATGAGCTCGACTTAATATATTACTATTTGAAAGACTAGAAAATTTTGCAGTGTTTTATGTATGAGAGAGTCGGAGAGAATAAGGTATCGTTCGTAATTTCCAATGGTTCAGCCATTGTAAATGTCCCAGTTACTCACATGTTAAACCATTAGTATTCAAGTTTCTAGGATCCATTCTTACAGCTTTCTTGTGGTCACAGATGTGGTAGAACCTATAGTTAATCAAGACCGAAACTTTCTAGGTTTTGCCATTGGCGGATAGAAGTGATGATGTACACATCGAGCTAGTTCTCTTTTTTACTAAATCTAATATATAATACAAAATGTAAGACACAACTCGTCGCTCGAACAACTGTAGTTAAACAACTTAGTCTCTGTAAATCCAAAACATTCTCGGGATACAGAAGTTTTTTGTCAAAGCGGTGCAACTCGTATCTAAACGTGGTCAATTCAGTCGACGCCCATAGATCTAGACTATATATTGGTAAAGCATTCTGGAGCCAAAATCAGTTTGGATAATTACCCTGGAACATTAAATATAATGGTTTATGACATATGAAATCCCACCAAAACAATGATATGACATCATTAGAGATTATTATGACAAATGAATTAAAGCATTTAATGAAGAATAACATACACTGGATTTAGGACATGTTTAAAATATTTTCATTATGATTTTAATCATTGTTCAAAAATTTAAATAACTATGTTTTTAACTTCATTTCCTTTCACAAAGCATGAAAACAGTATTTCTGAAATAAAACTCTTTCTATCAGTCCATGACCAAGAGAATAACAATATCATTATTTTAGTAATTTATGCTCTACTTTAAATAATAAAGAAAGTAGTTATTTATTAGACTTCAGGGTATGTACTTGGTAGTCTATGATTTATGTAGTGTTTTTCAAATCCGCACAGAGAGTGTAGTTTACTTAATAAACCACATAAATTTTATTGTCCTCCACAGATGTCCAAAGAAATAAATTATTATAGGCCTATAACTAGTAGCTACATTTCATAAAACTGGGTAAAAATTTAATGTCTGGGGTTATTATGCTTTATTTTCAGAGCATATCAATTAGTAACAAAAGCAACATTTTTTTGGTGAAAACTGTTTTCTTGTATATTCTTTGTAAATTTATGACATTATTGCATTTGACTTTAATTTGTTTAAAAATGTAAATTTAATACTGCCACATTAAATATATCGTTTCCATAGTCAACTGATCTTGAGTTATCATTATACTACAAACAACTACAAACTAAAATCAACTTAATGCAATCTGAAGTAAAATTATGGATAATTGAATTTGCGTCTGTATCGTCACATTAAAGAATCGCGTATGTGAAATCACATTTTTATCCTATTAATGAATTTAAAACAATGTTACTCAATAAATAAATACTAATTAAAATCAATAGAATCTATCAGAAAAGTAGCTACTGAATATGGTACCAAAGTCTCTGAACAGTACATGTCAATAAATGGTTTATGTTTCCCAACAAGAATACAATCGCAAGTAAACATTCCGTTTAATCAACCTGAACATTATGGAATACTTGGAAACTTCAAAGCTTTTCATAATCTCATTTTGTTTATGTTGATTTGTCCACACGATGCATCAAAACTTATATAACGATTAAATTTTGGTGTGGGTCACTGGTGATTTTTACTGATTGAGTGACGGTCGGATCCCTGGTGTGAGAGAAGTTTTATTGTATATTAAAGCTGTACAGTCGATTAAACTTGACTTCCAATTTCAATTTAAAAATGCAATTGAATTAGAGAGTTTTTAGACACGATATTGTGTTTTCAGGCTGATTATTGGTATATAGACTGTGAGTGACAAGATAATTTCATTACTGTCGGCTGTGACAATTCTAAAACTTTGTATGAATACGCTGAATGTCCTTTCGTCATTGGGAAAATGTGATTGATCTCATTGTGCATTTTCACAAGCCCGCATTAAAAATTTTTTTTAGATTTATTGATTGTGGCAAATTACGTCAATTTTTCTTGTGAACGACATGAATGCGCCATACTAAGGGTCTTTTGTGTTAAGGTGGATTTATATTTCTGACGCCGTCAACCGCCGTATAGTACGCAAGCAAACGATACGCCGGTTGACGGCGTCAGCTGACGATTGCTAACAGACTTTGCCGCACGTTAGCGTCATTCTCCCAAGTGCTCAAACACTTGCATCCGCCGACCAATTTCAAGATTTGCGAATAAATAGTTTTTGACCGCAAGGTATAATTACACAACTGATAGAGATAGTCATAACACATATCGTAATTTAGTGCCGTCGGTGTCCATTTTGTAATCATGAAACATTTGTCTGAACATACTCATTACCATCTCGGTCCAACGCCTCACCAAATCTTTAAAATCTTACCGAGTTGTCAAACACAATGTACCTCACCTCATCTAAGTTTTTCGAATTGCGTTGTTTGATAGCTTCCTGTGATTGGTGGAAACACCGGCGTTTGCAAATTCATGTCATAAAAGTTCAACACATTTGAACTCTGGAAAATGTTACGCCGATTTAACTCGCTGACGTGAATAGTATAAACCTATGCGCTGACGTACGCTGGCAACCGCCGACCGCAAGTGTATGCTAGCGTATTACGAAGTATTAATCCACCTTTAGTATACTCCAATTCATTTCATTTCCTTAAATTCATAATAAACGGGCACTTTTAAATAACGGCTTTTATTACGTCTTGGACGTGACGATAGGCTAACCTTAAAGTGTATACCTACGTCTGACAGAATTTTAATCATGAAAAGTAATATACGTAGCTCTATCGATTTCTATGTTTGTAAAGCAAAATATTTAAGACACGTTTTAGCTTAAAAATGTGACAGATTTGGTTGGCGATTCTCAATTCTCAACTTTCATCCAAACGAACATAAGCGAAGAGTATTTTAATCTAAAACGTAATTGTACTTGGATTATGCAAAATACCGTCTAAGCAAACAATTAATTTGGGCAATAAAAACTAGAACTTTGATTGTTGCCAACCACTTTCTTAATACATTCTTGGAGGCCACCTGCAATGTAAATTCTAAAAAGTAACCAGGTCAATGTCACAACTCTACAATTGCACATCTAAAGTTGCTTGTATGAGACTATTTATTACCCACCGTATGAGGAGTTCCAACAAAACTACATTTGTGATAAAACTTTACATACTAAAAGAATTCATGAAGGCATGTTTTGTCATAATTTCAATGATCTATTAAATGCAATATAAAGTATCTGTTGTTGGCAAGCAAGAAGCAAGTTACTACCTTGGTTGCTTCCAGGCAACTCTGCTTCTAAGTTTTTATCTTTACAATTACTGACCTTGAACGATAAACGTATGTGTCACGCTTTGCTTCTACAAAAGTGTGTTTTTTAATCAGAATGTCAAATATTTCATATATACTTATTTGAACTCCTCTTTCATGTGTGTGCATGCATTGAAAAGATAAACTACTACGATTTACCAAATTATATCATCAAATCTTATACCACCTGGTTTGGTTCATATAAAACATTTCGTTTAAAGTTGAAGCGATTGGTACAAAATAATTTCAATGCTAAATTTGAGATAAGCAATTTGATAACATTTATATGCATGATTATACACTAAGTGATTACTCTTGAATTTATAATACCTAGGCTACGGGTTCGACAAACTTTAGGATCTTTTTCTATGAGACACATTTTTGGTAGATTTGAAACTGTAATAATCATTACCGTAAAATCAAAAAAACGATCTATTTAGAGGATATTATATTTATATTTTTTTTAAAACAAAATCATGTTATATACTGCTTTGTCTCCAACGCCAGATCTTCTTAGAATGAGAATAATATTGCATGATTGTTAAAGTGCTATTTCGCTTTTTTGTAAAAAGTTTTCATTAACAAAAACTTCTTAAATTATACCTGAAAATATTTCTAAAGTATGCTATTTATATCTATGTATCAAATCAAACTGAATTTGTTTTAATTAAAGACGGGGAGTACTTATTGTTAATGAATCTTTATTCGATATCATTAGATAAAAACTTTCGAATACGTAGGCGATATATTTCCCTACAATTAGGCGTTTATTTGACTCAAATCCGTTAACATTTTGGTGAATAGTTTTTCAAATTAGAGCAAAAAAAATTGTCGACCTACAAAAAAGCGGAATGCCCCTTTAAATACAAAATGAGGGTGGGGGGGGGGGGTATGAATACTTAGTTACTAGGTATTCATGATTCATGAAGTTTTTTCTATATCTGTAATAGTTTCTCTCGTTACCTCTTCAAGGCTTATCAACTAGACTCTAGTGTGTTTACAACAAATTATTGAAAACAAAGTCATTACAGATTTAATAAACCACCGGAAACAGTAACTTACATCAAAGACCAATTTCTAAACGTATACTAAATGTTATTAACATTTTTTAAAACGATTCTTAAAATCATATTAATTTGAAGACATCTTGTCTAAAGATTAGAATTGAAGTATTTTTGTTAAGAGCATCTATCTCAGGTCAAAATTCATGAT